CATTTGATTTGATTTGTGATTAAAGTTTATGATTTAATTGTGATTTAATTGATGAAATCGTTCTAATCAAACGATTCGTTTATCATTCGATAGAAAGATATTTATGATCGTTCCATCAAACGATGCTTAAATTGTTTGATTGGAACAATATTTTGGATCATTCCATCAAACGATGCTTAAATTATTTGATAGAACAATATTTTCAATATTTTGGATCGTTCCATCAAACGATGCTTAAATCGTTCAATGGAACGATATTTTGGATCATTCCAATCTAATGATTCGTTTATCGTTCCATCGAATGATTTAAGCATCGTTCGATTAAAACGATCAAAATATCGTTTCATTGAACGATAAACAAATCGTTCAATTGGAACAATCCAAAATATTGTTCCAATCGAATGATTTAAGCAATAAAACGATCAAAATATCATTTCATCGAACGATAAATGAATCATTCGATTGGAACGATCCAAAATATCGTTCCAATCGAATGATGCTTAAATCGTTTGATGAAAAAATATTTTTCCAATCAAATAAATGTTGCAACCAATCAACAAATTAATACATGTTGCAACAAATTAATAAATTTTTTCAAATGTTGTAACTATGTTGCAACATGTTATAACAGCGGTATGTTGCAACATATTCATAAAGGCTACCATCTTTATATAAGATAGTTATAAAATAAACAAATTATTTTCTACATAAAAGGCAATAAGTAAAAAAAGGTGAAAATCTAAAATTTATTTTATTTAACCATTTAGTCATATATTAAAATTAGCAAAATTTTTGGATCTATATATCATATTATATTATATATGTATATGTTATATTATTTTGTTTTATACTATGTAATTTATTCTATTATGTTATATAATATATTATTGCAATTCAAAATTTAATTTCTGTTTATATTAAATAAGATATTTATTTTACTATATCATTAATTAATACTAAAATTAAATAATAAATTTATTTATATTAAAATTTTGATTTTAAAAACACCTGACTACTGCGCCATTTTTAGTAATTAAAACCAACATTTTTTATGTCTTGAAATTTTTGATTTTATTCTTTACGAATTCATTTTTTCTATACTAATAAAATTAATTAAACATCCTATATGAAACCGTGCTGAAATATTGATATATATAAATATATTTATATTGTTCACATATTTTCCTTAATTAATTTTTAATAAAAAAAAAAAAAATGACGGAAGAAACTCATACTGCTCCAGTTGAACCCGCTGCCGTAGAAGAGCCACTTGATTTAGTTCGATTATCACTGGATGAACGAATATACGTCAAGTTACGTGGAGATCGTGAGCTACGTGGTAAACTTCATGTAAGCATCATATTTTTCTTTTTTCTACAATTTATTTTGCTTTTTTTCAAAGCTTAATTAATTTACGCGTATTATTTGTTATTTATGTAAAATTTGTTAAATGAACGCGTTAATGTCATAATTTGATAGGCTTATGATGGTCATTTGAATATGGTATTGAGTGAAGTTGAAGAAACTATTACGGTCGTAGAAATTAATGAAGAAACATATGAAGAAGTTATTCGAGTAAGTTCAATTTATTTGTTAAAAATAAGATAAAAGTGAAATTAAATTTTTATGGATTTTTAGACTCAAAAAAAAACTTCGGAAATGTTATTTGTACGTGGTGATGGTGTTATTTTGGTTGGTTTTATAATTTAATATTCCTTTTTTTTTTTTTTTTTTTTTTAAAAAAAAAAAAAAGCAAATTATTAAATATTATACCAAATTTAAATTTATAGGTTTCTCCTCCAGTTAGGACTGGTTAAGAATATTTTTTTAATCATTCTTTTTTTAAAAAAAAAAACTTTTGTACAAATTTAAAAACTGTTACAGAAAAAAAAAAAAAGTTTATAGACGCAAAGCAAACGAAATAATTTTTTTTATAACATTTTAGAAAGTGTTTCATAAGTTGAAATCATAAGTGCACAACTGACAGCTACTTTAGAAATTCTAAGAGTTCCTCCTATATATTTATAAATGTTATTTTTAAATCAGTAATTAAATTTATACTAATAAACTCACGTAATTAAAGTTAAAAAAAATATATATTTACCTCTGAATAATCCTTTATACCCTTCTTCCTGAACAATTTGTCTCAAGATTCTGCTCATGGTTGGCCTTTTCGCTATTTATTAATTAAAGATTATTAATGTTTTATAAACTTTGGAATCAAATAAAATAATACAAATCACTCACTTTGATTCAACGTTACTTGTCTTCTGGTCTTTGCTACATCAAAGGGTGTTGTTATTGTAGCTGCAACCTTTTTAAAACAAACATTAAAATAAATTAGAGAGTTGATAAATAAAAAATGAATCGTAAAACAAACGAATTTCAAAAACTCGTACCGATCCAGAAGCAGCGCCACTTAAAAATGCAATTTCAAAACTATTAATACTGCCATCAACATTCTTCTCACGCATATAATTACTTAAATGTTTTTTTGTCAATTCATAACCAGCCCAATAAATAGCTTATAAGGATGCAAAATTTAAATAAATAACGATGGAAACCCAAAAAATAAGATTTGCGAAATGATATAATTTCATACCAGAAAATGGTACATCACGATATAAAGTAGGCTCTAAACCTCGCCATAATGATGAGATGCCATTAATCTTTGCCATTTGTTGAACTCCTTTCATAACCTCTTTCAAACCATTTGCACCTTCAGGTCCTTGCATTCTAGTCCGAAACAATTCTAATGGAGATATCACTGTAGCAGAGATTGCTAAACGAAATTGAAAAAAAAAGAGATTATTATTCTAAAAGCAAGGTATATAGAATGCTATATAATGTATGCGAGAACGTACTTCTTGCTGTTGCTCCAGCGATCAATGGTGAATAAGTTTCGGAATATTTTCCTTTCCAATTCGACCATAATGAATCTCTCAAGTAATCATAACCTACGAAATATATTACGGTAACAGGAATAGACATTACTCTATATAAAATATAAACATGTACGTATGATCAATATCTCGTTAACTATGAAAATCATTCCAATTCACAATAAAGATAGAACTAACAGTGCAGGTGATAAGCCTCGCCATAATGAGGTAATTCCTTCATAACGAACGATCTTTCTAACCCCGTCCTAATTGAAAAGAAAAAAAAAAAATTTTAGTTATGTAAGGTTTCGAGTTTTTCCGAAGAAACCGAAAATTTTACCAATGATCCATTGAGATGTTGATTCGCGGTTATTTGACGACTGGGTGCTAATGCATCTGTTATGGAACAACTGAGTGTCGATGCTTGATTAGAAGTAACATGAGATGAATCCAAATGACATAAAAATTCTTGTCTTAAATTTTGCGTAGAAAAGAAGACTTTTCGACAACATTTTTTTAAAGAAGTGGAAGTAGGATATAATAAAAGTGATGATCCGTTGAATATACTTTGAGACTGTAACCTAGTCTTAACAACGTCAAATGGAGTAGCTAAGAAAGAATTCAATGAAATGGTAATATTAGAAGAGAATTTATTTAATTAACATGCTAATATCACGTAAGAAAATAGTTATTTATCTGTTTTTAATAAAACTTACTAAATAGTGAAGTTAATAAAGCTCCACTACATGCCGCGAATATTTTTTGAAAAGGGGTAATATGCGTTTGCGATAAAATAATACTTGAAGTAGACTCTGTTAAAACATTATTTTGTATACTTTGAAAAGGAAGGTTATTAATTGTTTTAGTTTCGAATTTATTATTTTCGTTTTCACTTTGTGACTGTAAATTAAGATCCGGTCCTTCAATATTTATAACAGCATCCATTGATATGTCCATTAAATGGTATTCAAAATATATAAAAGTATATATAAAAAAAGTATTTTTCTTTATTAATATTAGGTTCTGTTGGGAATTTTACATAAAAACTTCTTTTTTTTTTTAAATCGGTCGCGAGCGCGAAAAAAAGAATTTTTTTATCAATAAAATCTGATAAGATATTTTTACTAATTAGGTAAAAAGAGCAGTTCTGATTAATTTGATAGGCACGTGTAATATATAAGATAAGCGTCGGCTAAATAATTTTTATTCCAAAAATAAAAAAAGCTAGAATGCAATTCTAGTACAACAATCGCGCCAAATATAGATTATTCTTCGTCATCTTTTACTCGTGGTCTTTTGGAATTTTCTCCGCCTAACAGTTTATGTTTAATTGAGCTTTTAAATCTTTGCGACGCCATGCTAGGTCCACGTTGAATTAGTAGTTCATTTCGAGAACAAATTGAGGACCAATGGCCTGATAATTCAACAATTATTGAATCAAGTAAAGCATGATCCTCTTCTTTTGTCCATGCACGTCTTTTACCACGCGAGCCAGGTTGATTTGGTGATACAGGAGGTGGATTATCATGTGCACAGTAAGCAGGAGAAAAGGATGTGGGAGGATCAGATGGAAGAGGATCATCTGATGATTGAGGACGTTCATCTTTATATTGATTTGTATATGAAATTGGATTTTGAGTGTAAATTGGCAAGTATGTTTTTGAAAACAAGTGTTCCTTTAGTATATATATACAGTATATATAAAAAAATTAAAATAATCAAAAAAAAGGAATTTCATAGGTAAGCGAGTACAGCGTAAGTTATTTGATAAATAAAAAATTACCGTTTCTTTTTCTTTTTTAATTTCATTGGTTAGATCAATAATTTCGTCTTCGCTATGCGTTGAATATTTCCTTTTAGACATAATTCAATTTCTTTTTCGAAATATGAAAGTAGATCAAAAAAAAAAAAAGAAACAAAATAAGAAAAGACGAATTCAAATCCATTTATCATAATGATGAAATAATAAAGTTTGTTGAAAAAAAATAAATTAATCTTGTGAAAAAAAAAGTAAAAGAAAAATTTAATATGGGATGAATTTTTAAATTCAGCCTTTATTGACAAATTATCAGGGATCAAATTTTTTTAATCTTCACAATCCGATACAAGTTTACTAAGAACAGCCAAATAACAAAACTGATATTGAGCCAAATTTTGTACCATCGAAATACGTTGTTGTCTAAAGTGTTGGACAACGTTATAAATCAAATCAGTAGAATCATTCTGTTGTAAACCAGGCAATAGAGCCAAAGTAGAATCCACCGTGCAAAAAGTTCCAGTTCTACCACATCCTGCGCTACAATGTACTACGATGGGCCCAATATTTCGGTTATCATGTTGCATATACTCGTTCGTCTTAATAATTAAATTATTAATAGGATCAGGTGAATCAGGCACTCCGTGATCCGGCCATGCAATGGTTTGTAATTGTGTGATCTGCCTTGATTCTTTGATCATGTTTTTTTCTCGTAATTTTTCAAGTTTTAAAATCCGTACATAACAAGATGCTTTTGAATCCAGTATCTCGGATTCCAATGTAATTTTTAATCCAATGTCTTTAAACATCTCATGATATCCAGTTTCTTTAGGCCAATAGGTTTCACATTTAATTTCTTCTTTCTCAATTTGGTTTGTTAACATTACGATTATACGAGTATTTTGTTCCCAAATCATTAACCAAAAATCATCAATGGTCTCTTTCAATGGTCCTTGAGTTACGATATACTTTCTAACATTATTAGGCGCTTCAATATAACTTGCGTTAATATAGTCCGTTTTATTTGGTCTTTGTTGCAATAACCTTATTCTATTGTAATTAAATGGTATAATGTTACTATACCTATTATAATTCATTGACGTTCTATTGATTGCAATTGACATACTGAATGGATCATTGGAATTCTTGATTGCTTGATGACATCTTTCTTTTTCTATTTGATCAAGATGATGAAATTTATTTTCTAATGTATTGGAGTTCATATTTGCACTATTCGATAAAAATAATGGCATTATGACGCGTTCTTCACTCATTTTTTTCAAGCTATGTCGTAAAAAAACAAGGTCATAAAAAAATAAAGTAAATAAAATTTTCAGCATATAAATAAAACAAACTGTAACGAACAAAAGAAAAACAAATTTACTTGGTTGGTTGCTATGTATTTACTTTTTTTTTGAATTTTATCGTTGTGCGTGTTATGTCATGTGTTTTTTAAAACCACGTGATAAGCATCCTAATACATTTTTTTTCAGAGAATTAAAAAAAACCCCAGAGACCCAAATTTAGATATTAAAAATACACTTAATTATAGTAGGGACGATCAAATAAGCATTTTATAGTGATATAATTGATGTTGTTAACGTTATAAGTGGTTAAATTATAGTGATACAAAAAGGGATGAAGCAAATGATTGAAGTATATCATATGAAATAATATTTTTTTTTATACTAAACTGACCTAACCTAACCCTAACCTACAAAAATTCAGTATAAAAAACCATACTCAATACCTGTTCACATGACCTTACTTACTTCATTTTGTAATACCTGTTAAATTGGGTCTGTTTTAATATAAAAAATAAATAACATTATTACTATACTTTTTTGATCAACATTACTATACTACTTTCTGTATCACATAAACTATTATATATATCATATTATATATTATTTTTTAATAATAACAACTTTAAATCAATTTTCATTAGTCTGATTAATCATAAAAATTAGTTACACAAATTCAATTAATCAAATAAAATATCTCTTTTTTACTAGTAAACAATATAGGTAATAACAATATACAAGAAATAACATAATCTTGAGACTTTAAACAATTGATGAAGTTAAAATAATAGTAAAAATGAATTTGTTTTATTATTAAAATTTTTTATGAAAAAGTTAATAAAGAATTTATGTTTATATATCAAATCCTTAAGTGAGTAATGTAAAGTTAAATTTATTTTAAATGAATATTTAATAATTTGTTATTTACACTAGTCAAAATCAAAAAAATCAGACATGTGATAAATCATCTATCAATCATCTGTCAATCAGACATAATCATCAATGGCCAAAAATTAACCTTAATCAACCTGTTTGATTTATAGACAATTTGTATATTTATAAAATCGGAAAGTAATTTTAATAAATTATTTTATGTCGAAAATAATAATTTGAAAGGATTTTTTAGGTCAATAAAACTTTCAAAAATTATATGAAAAATAACAATTCGAAAAGCAATTTTAATAGATTATTTTATGTTAAAAATAACAATTTGGAAGGATTTTTTAGGCTAATAAAACTTTCAAAAATTATGTGAAAAATGATAATTCAGAAAGCAATTTTAATAGATTATTTTATGTTGAAAATAACAATTCAGAAGGAAATAAGATATCATAATTTCATAATTGGTATTTCTATTAATTGGATTGATAGCTAAATATTCTTTTGCATTTCACCGAGTTGAAATCATATAGTTTACTGATACAAAACGTCCTAAAATATGATGAACTGGTATTATGCAATCATGATTTTTAAGGTAAAAATCAGTATCTCATAGTTCAACATTACATGTTTCTTCAACATTAAAATGATATCGAACATTTGAAGAACCTGCAGGTTAATATCAGTGAACATATGCTAGAAAATGTTTAGTCAGTCCATACGGTAAATTGACCGTATAAGTAAAATAGTATTGAACTTGACCTGGATAACAATCAATAACATCATCATTCGTAATAAATTTGGCCAAAATGTATGAATTTTTTTCATGTCATAAGAGATATCTTCCAAACTGATTCATTTTAAACTGAATTATTATAGCATTTTCTGAAATTTGAGATTTTCATAAGTTACTAAATAGTATTTAACAATTAAATCTAGCATTTCATTTGAAATGATTATATTATCAGATGATGGCTTAAGAAATTTTCCTGGAAAATTTTTACTACCAAAAATACGTAATTCTTTAACACAGGTTGAACACTGATAAATCGAGTATTTTTCTGATTGGTCACTATTTTTTGATTAGCAATCAATAGATAGAAATCAGTAGATACTACAATCGGATATGAATCGGTTAATACCATA